GATCCTTGGGATACCTTAAAGGACATTATTGGGACAATTAGCAAAATTTAAATATGGAAGGTGTATTAAGTAAAAGAATCATATTATTAAAATAGCTGATTTTGATAATAATACTGAGATTATGCACGAGAACGTCCTTGTTCTCAGGAAATACACACAGAGCATATGTTGATAAAGGGACATGACGTCTGAAACTTACTCAAATGATTTAGGAAAAAAAAACAAAATTCATGTTTTACACACATATATACACAAGAGAAACGTGATAATGAGAATGCAGCAAAATATAACAATTTGTTATTCTGGTTGAAAAGCATGAGAATTCTTTACTATTCTTGCAATTCATACATAACTTTGAAATTTTACATATAAGAGTCTTTAAGTGATCACACTATCACAATGGCCTGTCCCCAATCCCCAGGAACTCTTTAGCTCATTCTTTTTCTCCATTACACTTCTTGTAAAAAGCTATATCGTGTCTTTAATAATACCTACTTTTTTGTGTGTGCAAGGCCCTGTCCTGTTCTAAGTGCTTTACTAGTACAAGCTCAGTGAATCCTACAACTACTGTTCTTATCTTACAGATGAGGAACGGAGACACAAAAAAGTTGATTAACTTGCCCAAGGTGACCTACTTGACTTGTCTCACCTGGCACAGAACCTCAATTAAGATAAAAACTGTTGTTCGCTGCTCTTTAGCGACTTAGAAAGGGAGCCTAGCACATTGCAGGAATTTAATAAGTATCTGTAGATTCAGTTAACAAATATTGGGCATTTACTAGGCACTGGGGTACAAAGCAGTGAACAAAATATTTAAAAATCCAAGCAAACCTGGAGATAAGGCTCAGTCTACCTATTTTGCAGAAGAGGAAAATGAGGCTCCAATCTGAGAAATGATTTACCCAAGATAAAAGGATTAATTGGAGGCGGGGTGTCGATTCCAACCTAGCCCGGCGGTTCCCAGGAAGAAGCTTTTATAAATCCACCAAACCGACCAATCCTGTCAACCAATTCGTATTTATTACGCGCCTACTGCGTGCAGATCCTCCTCGCTCAGTACAGGCGGAGAGAGGAGGCTGCGGTGCGTGCGCGGCGGCGGCGGCGGAGACCCGGGGCCGCGGCGGATCGCGGGAATTTGGCGCCTACGTTTGGAGTCTGGCTGTTCTCGCCTGTGATTGGGCCCCGTCCGCGGCTGCTCCGTCGACCTCGGCAGAAAGCGTTCGGCTCGGTACTCGGCTGGCCTCCGGGGCATGGGCCACCAGGAGCCCCCGCTGGCCCGAGCGCCCGCCGAAGGCGCGCCTTATGCTAAGCGGGTTATGTAAAGGGACCAGCTGGCGCGAGCGCGTGCAGAGCCGCGGAGCCCGGACGCCGGGTCTGCCCCGCGCGCGCCGCGGCAATCTCCGGGGCCGCACCCGGGTTCCGGCGCACGCC